TCCTTAATTCAAACATCTAATCCTAGCCATCACTTTGACTCTCCTTGCTTATAGCGCATTTAATGCTCTTACACATGGTAAGCATCCTATTGACAAGACAAAACACTTGCACTCACTACAAAGGTCACATTAATCATTCTAAAGAGATCCCATGCATCAGTTAAAAATCTCGTTGTGCCATAGAACCTCGGATTTGATATTGTAAAGCTCCTCGGACTTCTGTTTGTGAGGTCTCTTCACTTTGGCAAATCTACTTCGGTGGAGGAATGCAAAGCGAGACTTCTGCATTGGCCTTGAGGCCAAACCCTCTATGCAAGGTGCTTCGTTGGTGGTAGATCCACAGCTACAGTGGGTCTACCACATGGAGTCATGTGTGATGAAGCATAATAGTTTTTTACTTCACCATACTCACAAAATAGCTCACAAAAAGAAAGAAGATAACCCACATATGGTTGTCCCATAAAATCACAAACCATATAGGTTCAAAAAGATGAAGGAGAAAATGGCTACCCTCTTTCTTCTTACTACCACATCTAACACCACTCATAGAGCAAAAAGAGTATGCCATAATTCTCAACCCACGATGCATGCAAAAACATTACACAAAATAATTAGATTGCTCCCAATTCATGCAATTACACACATCTAACAGATTAAAAGTGTAACATATAATATCGCAAGAGTCACAATTAGCAGACTATAAGTTAAATGCCATACAATGTGCTTGGTGCCAAATCTACGACAGTAAGCTTACAAACTCATATAGCAATAGAGAAAGAAAAAATGAGAGCCTACAAATTTTTACATAGCGAGGCTCGTTTTAAGAAAATAGCCTAATGCGAAATATCTATCTTGCTTAACATTAGTTTGAAGTAGAAAAAGTAAAACAAATATTGGAATTGAAAATTTTTTAATTTGGTTCTCTAGTTTTACGGGTAAAATTGAGATCTGAACTTGTTTTCTTTTCTTAATCTATAAATAAACACAAAAAAACATATTATTTTGAGAATCAATATTTCAAATTTTTATATTTATGATATTGTATAGATACATGTTCCAAGTTAGCTCAAAGTGATTTATGTTAGTATACATAAAGATGAAATATTTTTACGGTTAATTTTAACAACACTAGTTGAAGTTTGTTAAGAATTTCAACTCAAATTTTTTAATCATTATACTAATGGCCACTCAATTGAAAATATCGATAAAAAATTCTACGTGACACCGTTAAATATTGAAGTAGATACAAACGATATTAAGTAGGACACTACATCAAATATAATTATAAATTTGATTGAATAAAAAAAGAACACCTTTAAAATTAAACTCTGTATTAATTTTATAATACATTTTCCCATTTGAACATTTTGTGTATTATTGGCCTGTTTGGGAGGGATTTTTTACCCAAAAAAATTGATTTTTTGACCGTTATTTCACTATTCCAACCATAATTTTTTACTTCTTCTCTCACGAGTGGACCCCACTTTTCTTCTAATGGTCAAAAAATCAATTCTCAAAATCCCTCCCAAACGGGGCCTATATTTGTTGAGATGATGATGATGTACTAGTTAACAACATTTGTGCTCATATTGATATTTAGCCTCTGTTTGATATTAATTTAAATCAGATTTTAATCTAAGTTATAATCACACAATTAATATTAATAACATTTTTCATAGGTCTCACAACTTTCTAACCACATATTTCAAAAACTTCTATCAAAATCTATTAAAAATCTAATTTTAATCTTCACCAAATAGGGTGTTTAATGGTATCACGTAGGATTTTTTATTAATGTTTGCATCCTAGTGAAAATTAATGCGGTAAGAACTTGAATGACCACTGCAGTAAGAAGTAAGAACAATACTTTAATGGCCATTTTGAAATTTTTAATAAATTTCAGTGACCTCAATATTCTAAAGGCAATTACGTACTCAAATGAACTTTAAGATGTAGATGAATGTGAAGTAAAAATATTACAAATATGTTTCCCATATATATTAAGTGCATGTTGGCTTACGCTAAAGAATAAGCAGCTTATCACTGAAAATTAGAGATTGCTTCTTATAGAAGTCAAAACATTAAAAAAAAAAAAAAAAAAGCTGGCAAGGTCTAAAGATTTAGCCTAAAAAGGCTAACCCTATATTGACACCATAGTGGATGGACAAACACGGACATGTAGTGCCTGAAGCCAAGGGCGGAGCCAGGAAAATTATCCAGTGCGGGCAAAAAAATTAATTAAGGTTGGATTTTGGGTTTTCGGGATCTAAGACGAACTTTAAATTTGGATCCTTGTATTATTGCATGCAATATGCATTCAATTTTTCTTATTTAATTTGTAACTCAAAAACTTGTTTACTTATAAATAAACTTTACAGGATATGGTGATTGGAGGAACAGACACAACATCAAAAGCAGTCGAATTTGCCTTGGCAGAAATGATAAAAAAACCACAAGTTCTAAACAAAGTCCAGCAAGAACTGGAGAGATGAGTAGGCAAAGACAACATAGTAGAAGATTCCCATATTAACAAATTTCCATATCTCTATGCTGTAATGAAAGAAGCCCTTCGTCTACATCCTACTCTTCCACTTTTAGTCCCCCACTGCCCTAGTGAAACATGCATTGTTGGAGGATACACAATCCCTAAAGTGGCTCGAGTTTTCGTTAACGTGTGGGCAATACACCACGATCCTACTATCTGGGAAAACCCTTCGGAGTTTTCTCCTGAGAGATTCTTGGATGGAAAATGGGATTACAGTGGGAATGACTTCAAATATTTTCCATTTGGATTAGAATGAGCCACGTTTGATGGGTCTAGAAAATTTTGACGATTCTCTAAACTTTAACTTCCTACTCCCCAGGGGCAGCCCAAATCTCAGTGCAGGCATGTGCCTACACTGGACATAAGGTGGCTCCGCCCCTGCCTGAAGCAATTGTGCACAGCAAAAATATTCTTTGCTGTTCTGGGCCATCTGATAAAGCCTGATGTTATCAATTTAACTTTAAATTTAGCCATGTTGATTTCGATTTTTCTAAAAATATGTTTCATCTAGTTCTTTTTTAACTACGTATTCTTATAATAAAATATTTAATACGTAGACTTGTAACTTTTCCTCCTTTTTAAGCACACACTAAAAAAAAAAAAAAAAAAGACCAGTCAAAGAATCAAAATCAAACAAAAACTTAATAGGTACGTGCTAATTGATCGAGAATAAATGCAGCATTTGTATGCATTGTAGGAGAGAGAGGTATGCATTGTATATCTGAGTTAAGAATTGGGGAAAATAGTAACAAAGGTCCTTAAACTCTTCAGTATGTTGCACCTTTTGTCCGAGATAAATTTGAACATTAAGGCTATATCTAATTTAGAGTAATGATATTTAGCGTCGTTGAAATTATAATATCAGTCTATGTGCGCACTAATATGACATTAAATAATATGAAATAAGTCATTTAATTTCACATTTCATTTAATATTTTCTTTAATCTCACACTAGCACCACATAAATTGAAGTTTAACCTCAGTAGAACTAAATAGCATTATTCTTTAATTTAAGGTCAATTTCAAATGTGATCAATTTTAATCTTACACGTATCATTATTTTATCAAAAAAACTACTTGTGTAGATTTTTTTGTAGAGATAAATTTACTAGTACTAATATGACAAAATTTAATTGGGTGATTTAAATTCTTTTTTCTATCCAAAATTCAATAAAATCTTGCCAACTAGCATTTTGTAAATCATTCTATAAAAACAGTCTATACATATAGCATTTCTCTTATTTTATTATTATATATACCAAAGTGGTGAAATGGGGTCGCTTAAAATTGAAATTAGAATCTAAAGAACTCTGTCTAGTCACATTTTTAGCACACACTTTAAATCAAATAAGTTGAAACCTCACAACACGGCAAGCAAATCTTACATTGAAAATTAGTTTGATTGATAATAGTGTCCATTGATGTTTTTGGTCGGGCGAAGACACTAAAAAGGGTAACAAATTTTCATGTCATTTCCTGTCCTTCCATTTGTTAGGATTGATAGTACATTTAGGAACCAAATCCCCTAACCTAGAAAATATGTGTTTTTCCATTTCTTGGTTCTCACTTAATCAACAAAACAAACTTTTAGTCACTTAATTTTTATTGTTGTGAAACTTATCTATGAAGTTTATATTTGGCTTCAGTTTAGTCAACAATAACAATTTCGTCGCAAAATTTAGTGTCATTTCATATGTGACAAGCAACTTTTTGATAATACGAGTGTTAATAGGTATCGTTGATATTTGTGCAACAATTACATATTTTGGCTTTTAAGATTCTTGCTTATATAAGGTACAATTTTGTTAGATTTGCATTTCAATAACTCATTTTTCATTAAAAGAAAAGAAAAGAAAGCACAACTCTATATAGGTGTCTAGTAAGCTAAAAAAAAAAAGGTTGAACTCTAATCTTGAAGGCCCTCACCACCTCACCTCTAGAGTTTTGTGAGGAAGGTAAATCGAGGGATGTGCCCCAGCAGGCCATGAAACAAGAGTTGTCTGTACACTGCGCCTACAAGTAGTCCAATTCCATATTTCGGGAACCGAACCTCCACACTGCGGCTGCCAACAATGCGTGAGATAATATCACTCCTATCTTTTACACGACTAAGCTATGCCCTGGGGGGTGGTGTCTAGTAAACTAACATTATAAGGAGTCCATATAAGAAAAAATCTATTTGCAATGTTACAAAAGACGTTAACTCATATATCAAATAATTATTGATGACCAACTAAAATAAAATTGAAACATTAGTGATAAGTTTTTGAAACACAAATAAGTCGAGTGATTAGAATGAAATTTCGCTACGAAAAAAATTAAAGAATGATAAAATAAAATAAAAAAGGGGAAAAAAAAAAGAAAGAAAAGAAAATTCTTTTAACAAAAAGAAAAGGCCGCCATTGGTTGGTTCCTGTCTTTTGCTTTTCCTGCATCAAAACTGCTCTTACTTGTTTTGCCAAATATCTTTTGACAAACACAAACATTAGGCATTTTGCACAAATAAAAGCAAAAAGGTTTATATTATCGTTCTCGATTTTGGGTTCATCAATTTCTGTATATTTTCCTCCCATTTTGTTTGTTTCTTGACAATCCAACACTATTTATTTCTAAAATAATATATAGAACATCAAAAACCATTTTAAGCAAATAAGCTAAAGAAAAATAGTATGGTCTTTTGGGTTATTGGAAATATGGTGATTGGTTTCTTTTGGGCCTCACATTCTCGGTAAAAAAGAAGGTTTGTCATTTGGGTTGATGAAAAATTGCCAAAATATGGGATTCTGAGGTGCAGAGAGACAGAAAAATGAACGAAAAACTGAGTAGCATTATCAAGGTGAAGAAATCACAAGCTGGTGTAAAGAAAAGGGCAAACAGCATATTTTCGACAATGTCGGTTGCCCATGTGGATGATGATGACATTATTGGAAAGAAAACCAAAATGCAGGGAGAGACAATATCCAAAGGGCATAAGAATTATGAGCTCATGCTTAATTTGCAGCTTGGAATAAGGTACTAAAATGCTCTTAATGGATTCAGTATTTCTTTATCAATTAATCTTGTTATGTTGTGGCCCTTAATTCCCATTTTGGAAAGGGGGAAAAAAAAGGAACTTGTGTTTGAAAAGATTAACTGCATTCATGGTTTGGATTCATATGCAGGCTGTTCTTGATGTATACATGATGCGTATACGTGATCCGTGTTAGTCTTGTTTCGCATAAGATTAGAGCGATTAGATGAAGTGCTACAGGATTTCTGCATGATAAGAAGATCCTTATAAGGTTAAAAGGCTAGTTTTATATAATATTTTTGGACCTTCTATGCCTAAATATACTGATTGTTGGACTGTTGAAGGACAATATGAATGTAGCAGAAATGAGGACGCTAAGATGGATGTGTGGACACACTAAAGTGGATAAGATAAGAAATGAGATTATATGGCAATAAGTGGAGGTAGCACCAATTGAGTCCAAATTAACTCTGAATACTTGATTTGCTTCAGAATGGAGTGATTTAAGTTACTAGTTAATTATGTTCTTCTTGATATGTTGCTTGATATATATTTCTATTTGTATCATCAACCAGACATTCTGTAGGAAGACCTGCTCCAGCTACATCCCTTGATCTGAGAGATACAGCTTTTAATCCCAAGGAGAAAATATGGACTCGATTTCCTCCGCAAGGATCAAAACATACTCCACCTCACCAATCGTGTGCATTCAAATGGAAGGATTACTGCCCCTTGGTTTTCAGGTCAGCCACTGAAACATATGTCCTTTAGTGTTAACAGGGACTCATTAATTCTGATGATGCTTTGTCCATTTGCACCAAATGGCCCGATTAGACTCAGTAATTATGTCTTCAGGACATTAAGAAAATTGTTTAAGGTGGATCCAGCTGATTATATGATATCCATATGTGGAGATAATGCACTTCGGCTGCTCTCGTCTCCTGGAAAAAGTGGAAGCTTCTTCTACTCGACCAATGATGACAAATACATGATTAAGACCATGAAGAAGTCAGAAGTAAAAGTAAGTTCCCATATGCTCAAACTTGAATTTATGCTGGCATGAAAATATTTATATAATCAGTTACTAATGACTAAAATTTCAATAAGAAAATGGATAATTTGCGATTTTCTTTTTCAAGTTATTTGTGCAAATTGATGATGGAACAATGAACATTAAAATTCTGTTTATGTTTCACAGTGAAACTCTAGACAATCTTGGGAGTAAGTGCAGAATTTTATATTCAACTAAATAACATCCTAATCCTGCTCAATAATATATTGCAGGCGTTGATAAGAATGCTTCGAGCTTATTACAATCATGTTCGAGCCTTTGAGAATACTTTGGTAACCAAATTTTTTGGCCTTCATTGTGTGAAAATGATTGGACCTGCACACAGGAAGGTAGTTAAAATGATCAGTACTTTCTGTCATCAATGGTAATGCCTCTGTTTTTATAACTGTAGGGTTTTTCTATGCACAGGTGCGGTTTGTTATAATGGGAAATTTGTTTTGCTCCGAGTATGCCATTCATCGACGTTTTGACTTGAAAGGTTCTTCACAGGGTCGTGTAACGGACAAACCTGAATCTGAAATTGATTCAACTACCACTCTCAAGGATCTTGATTTGAATTATATCTTCCGATTGCAGACATCTTGGTTCCAAGAGTTCTGCAGGTGATGACTTTCGACTCTATTTTTATTCTTTTACTGGAAACACTTTTACTCCTTATCATAGTTGCTTAACTGATAAAACCCTATGAAAAAGACTCAACAACTCGAAATGGTTGAACTTGCACTCAATTCAGTATCCAGCACAGATAATTATCCTTAACATTCTTTTCATAAGCTGAGATTTTCCCTATGCAGGCAAGTGGACAAGGACTGTTATTTTCTTGAGCAGGAGAGAATTATGGATTACAGTCTTTTGGTTGGGATTCACATTATACAAATATCACAAACTGGGGAGCCACTAAGAATGGAGGCTGGTATTTTCCCAGTCCAGACTCCTGGTATATATGTAACCTCTATATGTATACTCCTTTTTCACATAGTGTATGTTTGGTACACAGTACTCAATAATAATATTTAACTTCTTTTTCTTATTTAATACTTGCTTAAGTTGAAGATACGTGAAAATTTTGTAGGGGATAGAGATGAAGATGGTGGAGAAGCAGCTCCAGAACTATCTAGGTCAGATTTTGATCCTACCTCGGTATAACATGCTAATCCATGTTGTGTGAACTTCTTTAAAAATTTGAACTTCCTAATACTACTTTTTCACTATGAACTAAAGACCAGTTTTGCATCGATATTCATTGGTCAAACCTTCTTCTACAACATTTACATGTAGAAGAAGATAAGATGCTTTTAATTTTAAAATTCGACTTAATGATAGTGTTTTTGGTTACCATTAGATTAGGTATGAACATGCCAGCGCGTGCTGAACTGGCGACAAGAAGAAATGACAGCGAGTTCGCTATGGAACCAACTGGGGAGTACTATGATGTCATCTTGATCTTGGGTATAATAGATATATTGCAAGATTATGATATTAGCAAGAAGCTTGAACATGCATACAAGTCATTCAATTATGATCCAACTTCAATATCTGCCGTTGATCCCAGCCAGTATTCGAGGCGTTTCCGTGATTTCATCTTCAGAATCTTCACACAGGACACTACTTAAAAGTTAAAACAATGTTAGAGGTGATTAAATTGTAGGAACATATGTGTTTTATGATTCAGTTAAGTATTAGGTGAGCCTGCTGTAATTGTAAATGCAAGAATAGAAGATTTTGGGTTAGTTTTTTTTGGACCCAATATTTTTGTTCCAGAAGTTGAGGAGAGTATACAAATTCCAATGGAATCAAGGCATTGTGTTTATACCTTGCAGAATTTTCTCCAAAATCAAACCTAATGCACATGCAGTTTCTGAAGAAATAAGCCACATTTGGAGTTAAACTTAAGAACAGTTATTCTATTGAAGAACGAAAAGGAAGGTTAATTCAACCAGTTACTTAACATCATATCCCAAGCTTATTATTTTTGAAGAAATATTTCGAGTTAGGTTTTTAAGATTTACAACTGAAAAATAGCAGCAGTGATTTTACAGATAATACTTATGGTAAATTTACAGTTTGTCTAAGAATTAACAGACAATTTTTCTTCGAACAAAGATTACTTGAGGAAAAAGACGATACTTTGCATATGAAAGATGCAAGACTGTAAATGATGGAAGGTTAAAATTGCATATCAAAGGGCGCGGAAATCATTTACTCTTAGATTATGGTGCGAAGATGAACTTGTTGTATCTTGGACAAGCCACATAATTCTCAATACTTCGTTTATTATCTTAAACAAGTCACAATATTCTCGTATTATAGTTTAGAACTTCCAAATTTTCTGGTTGTTTTCAGTCATAACACGAAGAATTTTCAGTTCTTCTCTCAACCAAGTCCCAGTCCATTTTCCTTTTTGCAACCATTAAACATTTTAAACTTAATTTAGGAGAAAATGGTTGTGCCTTTTCTGGTTTAGGCTGTTCTATTTTATGCTTCTACGTTTTACTTACTATTCTTTGACTCAATTTCTTGGTCCAGGTTGCAACAACTGCAAGTGAGATGGATGTTGAAGGTGGAAGAACTGATCTTGAAGCCACCATAGCTGCAATATATGCTGATGCCACAATAGCTTCTGGCAAAATTTCTCGGTGGAACTCCTACCCCAGATGAACATCAGAAGCAGGGTCCTGACACAGATGTTAGGCAAACGGGCCATATTGAAGGTGAAGCAGAAGCAGAAGCAGAAGCAGAAGCAGAAACAGAAGCCATGCCCAGAATAATCGAAGGCTAGATTATGAAACTGAATGGCAAGCTTCTTTCCATGATGCATTTCTTAATGATTATGGAATTTAACTTCATAATCATCGAATACAACAAAATTACGGGAAATTGGTGACTCAAATAATAATTTGTCACATAAGATGTTAAGTGTAATCGCAGACTACAAGACATAAGAGTCTGATGATTTTTCATCCAGCAATGACGTGTCGGTTAATAATGTTATGATTTCATTAATTAATTGTCATTTTCTGATAATTGATTTTATTTTAATCAAAATCATGATTGTAAAAAATAAGAAAATATCAATGATCTAAAAAGTGTAAAACGTGATTGAGCCTGGAGGCTATGCTTCAAGTTTTAAAAGCTTAGGCGAACCTAAGCGATGCCTATAAGTAAAAAAGTATTTTTCTTATTTTCAATATTATTTTAATTTTTAGTAATTAAAATCATAGATACCAAACATCTAAAATTATAAAATAATATATTTTATTAATAATTCCTACAATTAGTCAATTATATAATTTTCAATTTTTGAAATGCACTAGACTATTTTTATATTTTCAACTTTCAAATAGACAAGTCCGACTTGAAATTTTCTAACGTGTTTTCATTTTTGACTTTTGTATTCATAAAATTATTTTAAAAACTTGAAACTAAAGTCAAATAAAAAGTTTTAAAAAAATGAAAAATTAATAAAGCACCTCAAGGCGAGGTGTTTCACACCAGCCTCTCACTTAGGCACCGCTTAGACGAGTTATTTCGAACATTGTAAAATAATCATAATTAGATTGGATTAGGAAGTAACTCATTGTAATTAGTTCCATATATTTATCAAATGTTTGGTTATACATTGTTTTGTCAATTGAGATTATAAGGCTGTTTCACATCCAGGTCCACGATGAACAGATCCTCAACCAATACGGGGCGCCATGGAAATCCATGGCCCAGGTTGCCCCGGACAAGCAGCCTTATTCTTGACATTAATATAATAATTAGTGGGATGATTGATTAGGGTTGGAAGACCAATAAAACTAGTCAACTTCTAGTAAGTCAAAAAAATTAAACCACTGTTTGTTTTCCATTCTTTCCCTATTAAAATGAAAAATATGATCGTTATCCATCACATCAAATCACTAAATTTGAATTTCTATCTCTTGTGTGGGGTCCATAACGACTATATTTTTCATTCTCATTTTTACAAAAATAAGAAACAAATGCCAAATTAATAAAAACCAATTCAATATAATGGGCATTTTGGTTGTGAGTGATAGATAGGGGTGTCAATTTGACTAGTCGGCTAGGCTGTCGATGGCTCGGTCCGAGAAAAGTCCAAGTCGGCCCGACGTAGACTCGAGCTCATGACGAGCCAGCCTTCAAAAAATAGTTACGTGTAGCAAGCAACAATAGTTGCTTGTGTTATATTGCAGGCAATTGTACTATTGCTTGCAAGGCAGCTACATGCGTGGGCTACATGCACGCATGTAGCTGCCACACACAGCTACACAGGCTACTAAGTAGCTACTTTTGCTTCTTCTTTTTTTTGTTAAATGTTGATCCAACTTGACTCAGTAAGTCCCCAACTGAGATTTTTTAAGCGAGCAAAAGTTCAGCTCAACTCGAACCAATAAAAACCAAACCACTTTTACTCAAGTTGAGCTCGAGCCTCGAGTTTCAACCAGCGAACCGACTTGACTTGACTCATTGACATCCCTAGTGATAGATATTAATTCTTCTTTTGGTCACTGACAAGTGTATTTATTACACTTATTTGAATCATTAAACTAGAGCAATTATTATTATTTTAAATAAATTGATGCTTAATTTTGTGTATATTTTGTTTTTTAGGTGCATTTCAATGAAAAACGATGAAAGTGAACAAAAGGAACGGAAAATTGGCAAAAGGGGATTGAATCCAAAGTTTGGAGACTAAATTGCAAAGTAATAATAGTTGATTCGAACATACTATCCATGATTGAAAAAGGTGTGGAGTCAATTAGATGGAATTGAAAGTTGAAAGACCAAGGAGACATCAAAAGGAGCTAAAATGGATGAAGACCGAAATTGAAGGACCAAAGTGCAATAAAAGAAATTTTTTTTTTTTTTTTTTTTTAAAATATGGAGCGCGTGCAAGGGCCTATAGTGGCGAGTGTGCGCAAGGCAAGATTTTGGGCCAATGGGCCCAGCTTCCCTTTTTCACCTAAATTTCTTATGGAAACCAAATTTAACCTAATATTTAAACGAGAGAAGACGGGAAAACGAAGGGGACACATTATCATACATATTTTTCACTACAAGGAGGTTAGCATATGATTCAAAGGCGATTAACACGAGAGATTGAAAATTCAACGTCCAGATTGAAGATTAACTTTCCAATCGTTGTTTTCAATTTCGGGTATTTTTTTCAAATCTTTTTGTGTGACTCATTAAATAACATGCTAGGATAATTATTTTCAAATATTGAATGAAGATGAAACCTTTTATTATTTGTTTTTAATTCAAGACAAGTAACTTAGTTGAATTCCATTATAAATAGTGCCGATGATTATTGTCGAGTAAATTATAGGGGAAAGTATAGGTCTATTATGAATGACCTAGTAAGCCGTTGTGTAGAAATTTCAACTTCCTCTGTTATATTTTAAATTATACAAAAAATTTTAAAGTGCTAATGTCTTTATTTTAAAGATTAAAACTCTCTGAAAATTCTCAAAAAGTTAAAACTTACGTAAAAAGTTTATTTTCATAATTTTATTTTTATTAAGATGAGCGAGTTTTAAGAAATTAAAGTATGTCTCGATCAATGATGCCCATCATTAGAAATGATCATCATAGTCTGGATGGCGATGAGATCCTGATTTATTTTGCAAAAACTATAAAGAATCTTTTTGAATATCTTGTGTTAAACCTTGAAAAATCTATTGTAAAGTATTGGATTTCAAATTTAATGTGACGACAACGGACTTGTAGATTCGTCATGATTACAACTAGTGATTATATATATTTCTTTTTAACTACATATTTTTAGTAAAATAATATTACATGTAAACAAAAAAAAAAAAAAAATTCCTTCTTTTTCAATCACATATTCTCAAAAAAACACTATTCCAAAAGTTATAACATGAAATAATGGGGGCCAAACGGGGGCTTAGCCTTTTTCATGGCCTTGTAGAATTCCATTTCAATGTCCTTGATCAAATCTTGCTCTACCAAGCAGTACAAATACGGCGTCATTGGACAAGTTATAGCTAGGATGGTCCTTATTGCATCCAATTCAAAATTGGAAGTTCTAATTATCCAACTTATTTAGACTCAACGTGCGAAAATAAGTAATTAAAAAGCAACAAGTCACTTTTAGTTGCTTCTAGGTGATTAGTTAATCAAATTCAATTATCTTATGGTTTGAATGTCACAATCAATAAATAAAGCAGTAAAGAACACCAAAGATGATCGTGGAGAAACTCTAACTGCAGAAAAACTTCGAGCACTTTACCAATCAATAATTCACTATAAACCAAAGCAAACTTACAGTACGGTCCAAACTCGTAGAACTTTTGACCTCGATTCATACATTCTTCCTTGACCCTACTAGAGGTATGCTTCTTCAAAACAAATTCCAATTCTTGGTTTATATCTTAGCCCTTTGGACTATGTGCTCCTGACGCAGACCTCGACTTCTGGTACCTCACTTTAATCCTTCTGAATTTGTGCTTCTGAAACAGCTCCCAATCCTTGGTATCGATATATCTCCAGTGGATTAAGTGAAGAATTCCTCGTTCTTCGGTTGGTGTTTGATCAAACGATCTGTGTCTTGATTAGTAGTTTAACGTTTCAGGATATGAAAATATATGGCTCAATATATATCTTAATTAATGGAATAATTTATGGTTCAATATAGGAAAAAGTGTTTGGGATAAAAGGGGATTGAAAATTTAGTGTTTGAAGCAAAACAAAATTTTGGATGTTGACCTGTCGCTCGAGCTCTAGGCTAGCAGCAACTGAGCGGTCGTCAATATTTTTATGATAACTTTCTC